TAATTCTAAAAGCTAACACATGTGAGATCTTCTGTATGTTTTGCTTTTTTCAGAAAGTGATATAAAATGTGATGGAGAATACTCAAGAATGCAATATGCAATAAATAATATTATTTGGAGTGTACAAATTAGCATTAACTTGAGTAAAGTTATCTTTCTTCTTCAAAAGAAATGTTTTTCCTTTAGATGCTATCAAACTAAATAATAAACAATAGGCTATGGAAAACTCTAAAAAAAAAAAAAAAATTACCTCCTGCTGTCTGACCAAAAAGGCATCAGTGAAACTTCTTGGATCATTTTTGTCAAGTTTATGATGGTGATCTAGAAAGATCAACCTTATAAAAGAAAACAGTTCATCTCTATTTCTGAGTATTGTCTTACGACTTTTTAGGAGAAACCCCAAAACACGAAACATATTGAAAAGCTCAAAGAATAATTTAAAAAAGCAATTAAATATACATATGTACAACTTATGACAATACAAAGAGCATTATTTCTGAAAGCATTATAGAAATAGCACCTTGAATTTTACCTCAACTATTAGGTTGTCACAAAGCTGCAGTTACTTTTGCACCAACCTAGTAACAGTGGCAGTCTGAACTAGATGCTACTTCCTCAATTTTCGGAATTAACTAACTTCCAATGAATATTGTTATGGCTTACAGTAAGTTCTAGGTATCCAGAGTATTTTGAATGTTATTCCTGTGACAATAGCTCTAATTCGAGGTTAGATGGGACATGAAAATAATACTGGCTTTATGTTCAGAGCTATAAACCCAAGTGTTTTTCTTACAATATCCTGGGTGATTGCAGGTGAACAATTGAACTATTTTAGTTCTATGTAACAGTATAATCTTACCAATAATGTTTTCTATAAGATCACAAACATTTAAAAATTTATAATAGACTTACTGTTCATTGGTCCTATAGAGCAACACCGCTTAAACCAATATTCACTGATTCTTAAAAAGTTCAGGAAAGACTTTATTGTTTGCTAAATTTTGTGTTTGTTAATATATTCAATTTTCGGGAGCTAGGGCCTATGTACTTAGTCATATTTAGTCATACCATCAAAGTGGTTCATGACCCTTGAAATGACTTAATAAACCAGACATGAAATATCCTGTCTAAAATTAGACAGCATAATTATCTGTTTCAGTGTTCCTGAGCACCTGCATTTAGAGGAAGTCTATATTTATAGTGACAGAGCCTAATTACTACAAAGTGAAGTATTATGGTTGTCAGTGGTGCTATTTAAAATGAAAACTATTTGAGATGGCTCTTTCTTCCTAGATTATAGAAGAAAGTGACTTTATCACTCACAATGATAAAATATTGAATCATAGCACTATTGTGAACTTGTATGGCTCAGAATAAATACTAAGGTTTTATCTAACATTTACGTTATTTTGTACTTGATAGTTGTTGTGGATCAGCATACAATACCCTGAAATGGAGGCCTCAGAAGCATAAGTTTTTCTCTTACCCTCTCCTGCTCTCCTATCAGTCCCCTTCTCACTTGAGCCTAGACATAGAAACTCTTTTTATAACTAAATAAAGAAGCTCAGAGAGAAAGTATTTTGTCTAAAGATACTTAAACAGTAAAAGATTAAGCAGGGATTAAACTCAAGGCCTGCAATACAAATGGGTGCCAAAAGAAGGGAGAAGGGCTTTGTCCAAAAGAAGATCTGATGAAATTACATACATAATTTTTTTTTTTTTTGAGATGGAGTCTTGCTCTGTTGCCCAGGCTTGAATGCAATGGCATGATCTCGGCTCACTGCAACCTCTGCCACCCAGGTTCAAGTGATTCTCTTGTCTCAGTCTCCCAAGTAGCTGGGATTACAGGTGCACGCCACCATACATGGCTAATTTTTATATTTTCAGGCCACTGTGCCCTGCCTGATGGAATTATACTTTCTATCAAATTAATTCTTGGGAGTCTCTGTCTGGTTAACAAAGCCAGATGTACTATAACTGCTTTCATTTATGTTGGATGACGCTGGAGTAGATACTCTTCTGTGAGATTTTCAATCAACACCCACCAAAATAAGGCCAGGATAAAAGCCAAAATCATTACTTAGAAAAGACTAGATTTTATACCCCTGAAATAGAAGGGAACCTAGGTCTGGAGCTTGACAGGAATAGAGGTGGATGGTTCAGGAAGTAAGGTGAAGAGTGGAGAGATTCGATATTTCATGTGTTTGTTAATCCCTCCCATTTGCTAATCACCCCAACTGACCTACCCCACGTTAGCACTCACACTTACACAAATAACTGCTATCTTCAAAAAGAGAAGAAATTCATTGAGCAGACATCCAATCTTTCATTTAATAAGCAAGGTGGTCTCCAGGGAAAAGAGTATCAGTTTTATTTTCAGTAGAATTGGTTCTTAATCCATTCTTTGCTTAGCTGTATGTTGCTTTATGTCATTTTTAAAATTTTTCTGGCAAGTTTTTCTTGAGTGGCTGAAATTGATTTATGTTCTTGTCTCCTATGTACAGCATCCTGTGTATGTCACCATAATAGAACCTGTTAGTACAGACACTTTAGTATGTCACTGACCTACCAGCTGTATTCCAGGATAAGCTGCAGGCTTTTTCTTTTTGTGATCAAGAGCTTTATCTTATATGACGTTGTATTTATCGAGTCAAACTTAACCATTGCTTGATGAATTATTACTGAATAAATGAGTAACTGGGTAAATTTTTTAAAAGCTCTCTTTGCTTTTTTGAGGCTGATTTCCTTGGTTTTTTCAAGTCATTCAATTATTTATCTGTTCATCCACTAAACAAGCTTCCCTAAAACATGTGCTCTATTGAAAATGTGGAGGTTACAGACAAAGAAATGAATTGTGTCTGCTCTTAAGAGATTTATACTTTTGTCTTCAGGCATTTACCAGGCCCGAAGGATGTGAAACTAGATCCTGGGAAGACACCAACAACAAAATCGACAGAGAACTTCTCTCCTCTCTGTTGGAGGGAAGTCTGGAGGCAGTTGTAAGAGTCATGGGGTAAGGATCTGGGTACTACTGGTTTGCAGAGATTTGTGGATTCCCATGGATGATGATGTAGCTTCTGAACTGAGTGTTCCTGAAATGACAGTGGGCCTTTTTGGTCTCCCATAAGTTGCAGGAGGGCTTAGCAGATATGTTGAGCTTCTTTGGGCCCTGATTCTAGTATAACACCAAGCTTTGGCAGCTGAAAAAACTAATGAACAAAGTGATTTCCTTTAGGTGCCAATCCAGAGGAGTTCTATTTTTGGCATCTGGCAAAACTTTAATACATTCAGCCAGAGATTACTGCCCCTCCCTTCATTTTTAAGATTTTTGTCACCCAAGGTATCCCAGCAGCTGGAGTTTAACCCTCAGGGAATGGACAAAAAGAAAAAGAACAATTCACCTAATGAGGTTCCAGCACTCAAAGTGAAGAGAATCAAGAAAACACACAAAGTAAGTGGCTTCTAACAAAATGCAGCTGTAGGAAAAGTCCTCCCACACCCTCTTCAGCAGAGTTCTCTTGTGCAAGAAACAGGTTACAGTCTATGGAAACAAGGGTTGGGGAAGCCTGAATATTTCAGCTTTCAGCAAACTGTCTGAAATTGCAGTTAGTAATTATGAGTCAATCTTTCAGATTTAGGTAAGAACAAGAAAAAACAACTTTCTGGAATTGATCATCTAAGTACAGCTTGAGATTTCTAATCAAACCAACCAATTATCATAGAATATTAGTGAACATCTTAAATGTTTTTAACAGATAAAGGATAATGTTATTTAAGTTTTGCAGACAGATTTTGAACTTGAACTTTAATAAAAATAACACCCCTCTTCAATAAACAAACTTATAAAAGGAAATTCAAGCATAACACATACACATGCACATGCACACACACACACACATACATACACATACACACAGATTTGTTGGACTTACAAATATGGACCATGATTTACAAACAAAGAAACAAACAAAAATAAATTGAAGAAATGGATAAAAGGAACCAATAAAATAAAGATTGGGAAGAAAATAGATTTGGATAAGAGACTAAGCAGACTTTCCATGTGAATAACAAGAGTGCCGGAAAAAAAAAAATTAACTGTCAAAGAAGAGAAAGTTACTAAATAGAAAGAAATGTATCTGAACAGAAGACTCAAGTATTAAAATTAAAATGATTCACTAACTTCTAGGCAAAATAGATTAAAAAAGTGTTTTTCTACTGCAAAGAGAAGACCACTAACTCAGAATTTGAAAAATAAGGCTTTATTACTTATAAGAACTGCCTTGCAGGAAGGCAGGAGAGAGTGTTTATAAGCCAGGGAGTGATGATGATCATGACCCAGTTCCTTAGCACATCAAAGACTTTCTTATATTCCTGAGTATGCCCAAAACCCTCCAAGATTTGCTTTATGATCAGCATAGCAGCAAGGAGGTCTCATACACCCTAGTAATGAAAACGATTCTTTGCAAGGATCAGAAGGGAGAGGACAGTGGACTTTGTAAGTGAGCACACTCCAAAAAACCTATTTGAAAGAAGTTCTGAAAGAAGTCAATTATGTCAACTAAGATACATGAATAAAATATAGATTATATAATTCTTTCAAGGAATAAAATATTAAATAATCCACTCATTTATAATTTTTAAGTTCATTAAAAAGCTGATGTCCTGTGAATTATGGTAGGGCTGATTTCCTTGTTGATAACTAGACACATCTTGGCAAGATTTCAGGATGCCAGGGCTAGAATAAAAATCTTAAAAGCTTCCAGATAGAAAAAATAAGTTGTTTGACTTTCTTAAAGATGATTTTTGACTATGCCAGTTACCTTTTGTAAAATTTAACTTCTTACAACATTCTATAATGAGACATTAACTTGTTATTTTTAAATAGCTAAAACATGATAAATAATATATTTAAATTGAATGTGGACTAAATATGAAGGAGTGTGTGTGTGTGTGTGTGTGTGCATGTGCTTGTTACTGAAATGAATTCTAACTACCAAAGGAGAGTCAAAGACTAATGTTTTATTTTATAACAATATTTAATTATTGAACATTTTATACAAAATAGACTTTGATCAGATATTATTTGAGCTTGTTGCAAATAGTAAATGTGCAAAAGGAATTAATAATATTCAAGCAAGAATACATTACTAACTAGACCATTTTTAAAATAAAAAGCACCACCTAAAATAATCATATTACTACTTTACACACATTCATTTCTTTAATTTGTTTTTTACATAGATTTCTTACATCTATTCTTGTTTTGTGGGTTTCAGTTTTATAATTTTGAGTATGGACGACATAGTGTCTACATTAAGAAACTGATATGTTTACTCTGTATTTACTCACTGCCAAAAGCATTCTGTTTGATTATCTGTTTTATGAGTCACATCCCCTCAATTAATCATTGAATAGCAAGACACAGCATTAGACATAAGGACATTTTTACACTGGCCATTTGGGACTTAGGATCTTTTCACTCTGGTCCATACTCTCGTTTGTTACTGCCTTTTTGTTTATTTGAACTTGATTCTAGATAATGGGAAAGAAAGTTGGAGAGCAGGAATGGTGTTTAGACTTCAGGTTCCAGCTGGCTGTGGTCACCATGTCTGTGGAAGTGATTGTCATGTTCCGTCAACCTAGGGACCTCAAAGAAAACAAGTTTGGGGGAACATTAATCATCTTTTAATGTAAATTTTAAAAACAAGACTTTACTTAGAAAGGGCTTAGTACTCTCAAAAAATTGATCCTGATCTGACTCATTTAATAAATATTGAGTATCCACTTTGTGTCAGCTTCTTTTCTGGGCACTGAGGATAGAGTAATGAATAAAACAGTTATTTCACTGGGCTTGCCATAAGTTAGTATTGAAATAAAAATATATTTGTTAATTATTATTCAAGCTTGAAAAAAACTGGGAATAAAAATTGTTTTAGTTGAAGAAAAATAAAAGAATAAAATATTTCTCTCAACCACCCTGACTACATTCCCGCTTTTCCAAACTCATTCTCTCTGAAATTTTGCTGAAAACACCCAAACATCTATCCCTCTCAAGTTTTGCAGGAAATTATTTGGGAAAAAGTATTAATAAAGAGAAACTGGAGGATAGAAAGAGGCTGATGTTTTGTTATTCATAGGTCATCTTGATGTGTACTCACTCAAATTCTTTATGTATTTCACTTGGTTTTGACCACTTTTACCTATGGCATGTTTTTAAATTAAGTTTAATTTCTTTTATTATTATTTTTTTTACCACCAAATAAACCTGTGGACTATATATGGTATAAAATCTCACACTGTTTCCCAGAATTCATATTATTTTTATGAATAGCTTTTTAATGGCTTTCAGAGGAGTAAAACAACATCTGCTAACTAAATTCTGTCTTTTCTTTATCTAACTTCTGCTTTAGAAAATACCATAACTTCTGATTTTATCTGACAGGGTACATCATCTTAATTTCTCTCTATAAATAGGGAGTTCATTCAGTTTCTTTTCAATTATTTACTTTTCTTTTACACTTGACATCTTGTTGAAGGCAAAAATGTAAAATTTATTATTTATTATTTTTGTAGAGAGTTTCCTAGGCTAGTCCCAAACTCCTGGCATCAAACAATCCTCCGCTGCTCAAAGTGTTGGGATTACATGTGTGAGCTGCCATACCTAGCTAATTCAATTTCATCACACATATGCCACAGAGATATATAGGCTTGAAGTGAGTAAAGCTTTCAGTAATGTAGTCATCGTTCACATTCTTGTTTAGAATACTGTACAGTACCTCCCAATAAACAGAATCATCATAGCAGTTCTGGTCAGATGGTTGTCCCAAGAAAGGCAACTTTAGGATTAAACCTGTGACGGTAGAGGGAAAATGAGTCATGTCACGATGCTGAAGAGGAAAATCCACTGGCATAGTAGTTCATATACTATTATAAAATCATCCCCTTTAGCTGTCATAATTACTGGTAGAAGTTCAGAACATTTTTGAATTTAGCAGTTGACTTGATTATTAATTATCTTTGGAAATAATCTGAGAGCATAATATACAGGGAAGTGTTCACTTTTTATGCTGACCTGTAATCAGACCTCCAACAACTGCTGTTCCGATAGAAGAACCCAGTGCAGCCGCCTGCATGGCCATAGTAGACCTAAGGAAGCCAACAAAAAGAGTCAGTGTTTTTCCTGGACCTCAGCCAAAAAAAATCTCACCCACTGAGGGTGTGGATGACTGCCATCTTCAGTCCAGAGTGTAACATTACACACTAGCAAATTAAGCATTTGTTAACAATTTTTCTTTCATATTCTTGTTTTCTTTGCAACTCCTGAACAGTGTTAGAAAATTCTGAGATGCACCTAAAAAACAGAATCATCTTTTAATGTAAAATTTAAAAATAAGACTTTCCTTAGAAAAAATTTAGTAGTCTCAAAAAATTGATCCTGATCTAACTCATTTAATAACTATTGAGTATCCACTTTGTGTCAGCTTCTTTTCTAGGCACTGAGGATAGAGTAATGAATGAAACAACATAAGCTACTATCTCTTCTCATCTCATTATAATGAAGTAGTTGTGATGAAATTAGAAAAATCTATTGGCTGGACGCTGTGGTTCAAACCTGTGATCTCAGCACTTTGGGAGGCCGAGGCTGGTGGATCACCTGAGGTCAGGAGATTGAGACCATCCTGGCTAACATGGTGAAACCCCGTCCCAACTAAAAATACAAAAAATTAGCTGGTTGTGGTGGCACGCCCCTGTAGTCCCAGCTACTCCCAGCTACTCAAGAGGCTGAAGCAGTAGAATCCCTTGAGCCTGGGAGGCAGAGGTTGCAGTGATCCGATATTGCGCCATTTCACTTCAGCCTGGGCAACATGAGCGAAACTCCGTCTCAAAAAAAAATTGGAAAATGAGAGTTTTTTTGGTTCTCCAGCTTCATCATCCAAGGGAGAGGATGCACTAAACTCAGATTTTTTTTTTCTCCTTATTTGAAGGGTTTAAATTTTCTAATATATATAAAAAGTTGTGGAAGTAACATTGTGAAAACATTAGAAACTGCAAATAACAAAACGGAGCAGAAAAGTTTAATATCCCTCAGATTGTATCAGAATAAAAATGTAAAATAAAAACAAGTATTTTTATAAAAATGCAATCATGCTACATTACTTATTTTCCTATTAAATATGTTTTAGGGGTCCATTTTTGTGAGTCAGTGTAGATTTGGACCACAGTTTGAATTGCTACAGGGTGTTACACTGTGCAAAGTACTGGTTGCTTCCGGTACCGTTTGCTTCCAGTGTTTCATATTTTTAAAAATGATGTGAGAACATCTCCTCTGAACATGCTTATGAACTTGTCTGATTATTTTCCTAATATAAAACCTATCAAGAAACGAGAATATTAGTAAAAGTCTATATATACTTTTTTTTTTTTTTTTTTAGATGGGGATTCGCTCTTTCACCCAGGCTGGAGTGAAGTGGCCTGATCTCAGCTCACAGCAACCTCCGACCCCCGGGTTCAAGTGATTCTTCTGCCTCAGCCTCCCAAGTAGCTGGGATTACAGGCGCCCACAACCATACCCTGCTAATTTTTGTATTTTTAGTAGAGACGAGGTTTCACCCTTTTGTCCAGGCTGGTCTTGAACTCGTGATCTCAGGTGAATCACCTGCCCCGGCCGCCCTAAGTGGTAGGATTACAGGCTTGAGCCACTGTGCCCGGCCTATATAGTTCTTAGGAACTTTTCCAAATAGGAAATTGTACAATTTATATTCCAAGTTTTTACTTAGCCACTATTCAGTATTATTATTATTCATTCATACTTCATCACTTTGATAAATGAAAAACTAGTAGCTTGTTTTAATTTGCATTTCTTTGAATATAAGTGAGGTTGTGTATTTTATATATATATATAAATTTATTTGATTTTTCTTCTTTTGTAAATTTCCTGTTAGCTTTACAGGAATTTGCCAAGATCTTTTATAAGGTCTTAAAAGATACTTTTGATAGCAAGTGTTCTGTGATCAAATAAACTTGGAAAACTCTGACTTATACAAAATTAACAGTATTACTAGAGTTCTGTTGCCGTAATTTGCAAAAATGTCCCTTAAGAATATTAACTTTCCCTTTTTCTATGCTTACCAAAAACCTGATTTACATTTAATATTCTGAATAGACACATGTAAGTAGTTTTGGCTCTCAGGTGGGTAATTTATTTGGTGTGAAATATGTAAATTTTACCCAAGTGAACGGACCTTCAAGGCTTGCCCTCCTTCCCCTCCTCTGATATTTCTCTAACTCCTTTCCCCATCAACGAATAAATTGAGAAGATGTTCTAAACCAGCATTTCCAAGGACTAGACCTTCAATCATGAGACTCACCCAATGTCTAAGCACCCAGCAAGGCCTGCTCTTTGAGAGCCAGATAGACTTGTTTTATTGCATCTGTGAAACTGGTCTACACGTGTTGCTTAAGAATTCCTAATCATAGGCACCTCAGTGTGTTTGCACAGTGTCTGCACACTCCAACACTGTGGAGTTGAGTTCATTCACACATACTTTTATCATGCTTGATTTGCATTAAAATATGTTAGTGTTTGGTCTCTACAGTCTTGGGTCTGGAGAGAACTGAAAACGATGGGCAATTCTGGTGTTTTCTTCTAAATTTTCAAAAAGGGTAAAAAAAAAAAACAACTTATGGAAGAAATGCGTCAAATGTACATGTGAAGAAGGAAGCAAAGTTTCTATTTAGTAGGAAATGATTAAATTAGTTTTTCAAGTATTTTTTATTGATCTCAACAGGGATAAATTTTAATCTGCTAAAATTGAAGAGAGGTTTTTCTTTTCAAATTATGCATCTCCAGTTAGTGGTCATTCAGACATTTCTAGACACACATTTCTTTTTTGTTCATGCTTTCAATTGGATTTAAAAGTTGAGCATTCTACTTTGCAGCCATAAAAAAGGATGAGTTCATGTTCTTTGCAGGGACTTGGATGAAGCTGGAAACCATCATTCTCAGCAAATGAACGCAGGAACAAAAAACCAAACACCGCATTTTCTCCCTCATAAGTGGGAGTTGAACAATGAGAACACATGGACACAGGGAGGGGAACATCACACACCTGGGACTCTTCGACGGTGTGGTGCAAGGGGAGGGAGAGCATTAGGACAAATACCTAAGGCATACAGGGCTAAAAACCTAGATGATGGGTTGTTGAGTCCAGCAAACCACCATGGCACATGTATAACTATGTAAAAAACCTGCACATTCTGCACATGTATCCAAGAACTGGAAGTATAATAAATTTTTAAAAATTGAGCATTCTAATTTATTTTATTTACTCTGAGCGATCTGGACTCTGTGATCTTCCTAGCTGTTTCACATGGATGACATTCATACCAAATCATTCCAATCTTGTGGCATCCCTTTTATTCTCCTGGGTTTGCTTGATACTTGTTTTTCCTCTGCTTATTTAAGTAAACATTTATACTCTACTTAGGGAAAAACCTAGGTCTGATAGAGCTAGAAGGGATTTTGGAGAATAAATACTCCATTCTTCTCATTTTATAGAGGAGAAGACTAGAAACCCGAAAGGCTGAGCGACACCTCAGAGGTCACATAACGAGTGAGCAGCAGAGTTGGGACCATATGCCAGTGTTTTTGATTCTGCAGAACCAGTCGCTTTTCGTATGATTCCAACTCATTCTTCTTTGTGTGGTTTGGATGGAAATGACTGCTCAGCTCATCATATGTGTCTCCTTCTTCATTTTGGAGGGATCAAGAAAATGACTAAGCCTACTATAATCTGACTGTGATTATCAAACTTCCTTATCTGCTAGAAGACAGCTGTTTCTGGTAAAGACATTTAAAATAACAATTTTTTCAACCCAACAGTTTCAGTTAAGGTGACTCTTTCAATATAATTTTATGCTAATTATCTTCTCTCAGTTGTGTCTCTTTGGCTCCAGTGAAGATAATATAAACTGTGGCCAGAATTGCTAAAATGAAAGCTCTCCTACCCCTAAATTTCTCAGAGTGAGAGAAAACATCATGGGACCACAGGGGCTGGAAAACCCATTTTTTACTCACGTGTTGGATGCACCCATTGCTACCGCCACAATGCCTGCGAGGCCTCCCATTACGCCAGGTAAGCCGTGGAGGTTATGGACCCCACATGTATCATGGATCCTCAGTTTAGTAGTAACAAGTGGCTAAAATTATAAAAGGAAGAAGGCTTAGTATTTCATTAAACATATGGAACTCTAGAACTGAAACAGAGCTATAGCTGAGCTCTATTCTTCCATGCAGAATTATTTTATAAATAAATTTTGTTATGTATATTTAAGGTATACAACATGATGTTATGAGATACACATAGAAAGTAAAAAGGTAACTACAGTGAAGACTATAAACATCTCCATCATCTTACATAGTTACCTTTTTTTTTTGTTTGTTTTCATGGTAAGAGCAGCTAAATATCTACTCATTTAGCATAAATCCTATATACAGTACAATTTTACTGCCTATAATCTTTATGCTGTACATTAGAGCTCTAGACATGTTCATGCTGCATTTCTTTTTTTTTTTTTTTCCCATTTATTGCATTGCATTGCATTTTAGGTTTTGGTCATCCTGCATTTCTGCTACTTTGCATTCTCTGACCTACATCTCCCCATTTCCTTCTCCATCCAGAAAAAATTGTATGTGTAGCTCAGTTCTCCATCCATATCTGAAGTCCATTTAAGTTAAAGGATTTGAAAATATACTTGTGGCAAAACTGTCCATTTCAGTCTTCAGTGGATTGGTTTGAAGAGAATCATTCACGACTTAATCCTTCTCACCTAGTGATGATATCCTAAATCTCTCTCTCTCTCTTTTTCTTCTTTTCTTTTGAGAGGGAGTCTCATTCTGTCACCCAGTCTGGAGTGTAATGGCACCATCTTGGCTCACTGCGACCTCTGCATCCTAGGTTCAAGCGATTCTACTGCCTCAGCCTCCTGAGTAGCTGGGATTACAGGAGCTGTAACCATGCCACGCTAATTTTTGTACTTTTTTTTTTCTTTTTTGTAGAGCCAGGGGTTTCACCATGTTGACCAGACTGGTCTCAAACTCCTGACCTCAGGTAATTCACCCACCTCAGCCTCCCAAGGTGCTGGGATTACAGGTATGAGCTACCATGTCTGACCAACATCCTAAATCTCTTAAAAGAGCAGAGTTCTTAATTACATAAGACAAATAAAAACAACTACTTCAATGGAACAGCCCAAAAGGAAAGTAATGCCAAGGACTTAACATTTAATTCAAACTAAATTATAAATAATTGATATCAGATTCTTTCCTGTTACACAGAAGTCAGGACAGAGTAGAATCACTGGACAGCTGAAATGGGAGTGGTATTTCCAAAAGGAAGGCAAGTGGCATCCAAATAAAAATGTTCATAAAATAAAGCTTTATAGCTTTTTTCTTCTGGAGGGACATGAGAGAAGAATGGTGCAGATTCAGGGTTTGACTCAGAACATCTGCTGTACTTACAGTTAAGAACTTGTATCCAAAGACAGAGACTATTCCTGCAATGCTCCCAATGACCATAGAACCGAAAGGATGAATTGTCATATCTGCACAGGTGCCCACGGCAACTCCTCCAGCAAGAGTGGCATTCTGAATGTGAACCTGTGTGAGGGGTAGAAACATAAATGAGGTGAGCTGGATGATGCAGAATTCAGAAGGATCAGGGGATTCTAGAGTTCAATAGACCCACATCACATTCTTCAGTTGAAAGGGTTACTGATTCTTTTTTAAAAAAGAGGGTTCTTTGAAATTGTAGAAGGCCTTTCTTTTTTATTTTATATTATTTTATTATTATTATACTTTAAGTTCTGAGATACATGTGCAGAATGTGCAGGTTTGCTACATAGGTATACACATGGCATGGTGGTTTCCTGCACCCATCGACGCATCATTTACATTAGGTATTTCTCCTAATGCTATCCCTCCCCTAGCTCCTCATCCCCCAACAGGCCCCAGTGTGTGATGTTCCCCTCCATGTGTCCATGTGTTCTCATCATTCAACTTGCACTTATGAGTGACAACATGCAGTGTTTTGTTTTATATTTTTGTGTTAGTTTGATGAGAATGATGGTTTCTAGCTTCATCCATGTCCCTGCAAAGGACATGAACTCACTTTTTCATGGCTGCATAATATTCCATGGTGAATTTGTGCCACATTTTCTTTCTCTAGTCTATCACTGATGGGCTTTTGGGTTGGTTCCAAGTCTTTGCTATTGTGAACAGTGCTGCAATAAATATACACGTGCATGTGTCTTTATAGTAGAATGATTTATAATCCTTTGGATATATACCCAGTAATGGGATTGCTGGGTCAAATGGTATTTCTGGTTCTAGATCCTTGAGGAATCACCACACTGTCTTCCACGATGATTGAACTAATTTACACTCCCACCAGCAATGTTACAGCATTCCTGTTCCTCCACATCCTCTCCAGCATCTGTTGTTTCCTGACTTTTTCAGGATAGCCATTCTAACCATTCTAACTAGCATGAGATGGTATCTCATAGTGGTTTTAATTTGCATTTCTCTAATGACCTGTGATGATGAGCTTTTTTTCATATGTAGGTTGGCTGCATAAATGTCTTCTTTTGAGAAGTGTCTGTTCATATCCTTTGCCCACTTTTTGATGTCTTTTTTTTTCTTGTAAATTTGTTTCAGTTCTTTGTATATTCTGGATATTAGCCCTTTGTCAGTTGGATAGATTTCAAGAATTTTCTCCCATTCTGTAGGTTGCCTGGTCACTCTGATGATGGTTTCTTTTGCTGTTCAGAAGCTCTTTAGTTTAATTAGGTCATTTGACATTTGTTAATTAGGTCATTTGTCAATTTTGGCTTTTGCTGCCATTGCTTTTGGTGTTTTAGTCATGAAGTTTTTGCCCATGCCTATGTCCTGAATGGTATTGTCTAGATTTTCTTCTAGGATTTTTATGGTTTTAGGTCTTAAAGTCTTTAATTCACCTCGAGTTAATTTTTGTATAAGGCGTAAGGAAGGGGTCCAGTTTCAGTTTTCTGCATGTATCCAGCCACTTTTTCCAACACTATTTATTAAACAGGGAATCATTTTCCCATTGCTTGTTTTTGTCAGGTTTGTCAAAGATCGGATGGTTGTAGACATGTGGTGTTATTTCTAAGGCCTCAGTTCTGTTCCATTGTTCTGAGAGCTTTCTTTCAAGAAGTTGACATTTGGTATCTTTCTTGCCAGTACCTTGGTAGTGAATAAGTAATCAGATTAATGAGGCCAGTGGTGGAAGGCATTTGAGAAAATCAAAAGATGGTTGTAGTGGAAAGGTAGGAGTGTTTAGAGCAAATAATCTAGCAATGTTTTTGTCTATTCGTGCAGTTTTTGGAACACATTTGTGGTTATCATGAACCAAAAGATGACTATGGCCACTGTGTGTTTTGTAGCATCTATGATATTCCAATATCCAAAGAGGAAATGTAGACATTGAAATGTACACATTACATATGAAAGACAACAGTTTCTGCAAATGTCACTGGGTTGAGGACATTTGAGGATGGAGGAAAGAGGAATTTATTTATTTTTGAGACAGAATCTTGCTCTGTCTCCTCAGGTGGAGTACAGTGGTGCAATCTTGGCTCACTGCAACCACCACCTCCGGGGTTGGGGGATTCTTCTGCCTCAGCCTCCCAGGAGCTGGGATTACAGGTGCATGCCACCATGTCCAGCTAATTTTTTTTTATTTTTAGTAGAGTTGGAGTTTCACTGTGTTGGCCAGGCTGGTCTTGAATTCCTGACCTCAGATGATTCACCCCCCTCAGCCTCCTAAAGGTCTGGGATTACAGGCATCAGCCACTGCACTCAGTCAGGAATCAATTTTCATTTACCAGACTTTTTCAGAAAAATTACAGTCTGTCCTGTCTGAGAAGCAGAGGTCATCTGTACTTTTAAAAGAGAAACACTGAACTGTACAATTTTTTCATTGTTTTTAGTGACTTCTCATGAGACAATGTTTGGAGAATTAAGATACACATCCTCAGCTATGCTTAAAAAATTAATTACAATAACATCTTCCTCCCCACCCCACTCACCGCACCCAGTTAGAAAGGTAGACTGGCTGATCTGGGATTACTCCTTTACTGATGTTTCTCTAGCTCATAGGCAAGAAACTCAAGAGACCAATTTGGGGGAATTCAAAACATATTTTATTTTGAACTAATTGCAGACACATATATGTTGTAAAAATACCACAAAATGTTTCCACATATCCCTTGCCCGATTTCTCAAATAAGATGTTAATCTTACATAACCATGGAAAGGAAAATAGCATTGATCTAATACTATTAATGACCTTATGTGAATTTCACCACTATTTCCACTGATTATTTTCCCCAATAACTTACTGAAGATCCCACATTGCATTTAGTTGTTATTTCTTTGAGATGAATGTTTGCAGTTGGGAAAATAGAATCAGTGTGCATCATCCCACTTTCTGCTGTTTGAAAAGTTTTGTTTCTAAGGAAGCTTTTCTCAGAACTTGGGAACAGTTAAAGCAGTTAACGCTATTATTAAAAAAATACACCTCAAATCTTTGATTTATACAAGACTACATTCATTCTATACTAGACTGTAAATTCCTTGGGAACACTTTTTTAATTTTCCAGGGTACAATTTTTTTTTTTTGAGACAGAGTTTCACTCTTGTTGCCCAGGCTTGAGTGCAATGGTGTGATCATGGCTTACTACCACCTCTGCCTCCCAGGTTCAAGAGATTCTACTGCCTTAGCTTCCTGAGTAGCTGGGATTACAGGTGCCTGCCACCATGCCTGGCTAATTTTTTTTGGATTTTTATTAAAGATGGGGTTTCGCCATGTTGGCCAGGCTGGTCTCGAACTCCTGTGCTCAGGTAATCTGCCTGCCTCGACGTCCCTAAGTGCTGGGATTACAGGCATGAACCACCGTGCCCAGCCCAGGGTATAGATTTGATTAATAAATAAATGAATGTTGCTATTTTTAAAACATTCTTCAAGATCTGAAGTTTTGTGATTTGTCTTGGGAGCTCAGCAGTGATGCGGAAATTATCTCCTACTTATCTGAGTAACTGTCAGTGTTGTGAAGGGAAATTTCCATGAGGGCTAAGACAGCACTTACCATGTCAAGCTTGCCTCGGGGCTCCACGAGACTGGAGAAGGCATAGGCTGTGAGGACACAGGCAGCAAGAGAGAAGTACGTGTTTACAATGGCCCTGTACTGTTTGTCTCCAGGTTCAGCAATGGCCGAGTTAAAGCTGGGCCAAAACATCCATAGAAAGAGCGTCCCTGTAGTGAACCAAAAGAGGCGATATTAGTTCTGAATGTGGAAGACAGTCCAGACGATGCAGTTTGCTTTGGGCACCAACAATGTCTCTGTTTAGGCTTGATTATCGACAGTTAAGAGAAAAGAGGAGAATTGAGCCAGCATAAAGTAGTATGCAAAAGATGCTCCTTTTTTCAAGGTTTAATTTTTTTTTTGAAAAAAGAAAGAAAGAAAAAGAAAGAAAAAAGAAAGAAAGAGAGAAAGAAAGGAAAAAAGAATGAAAGAGAGAAAGAAAGAGGAAGAGAAAGAGGGAGAGAGAACTGGAGTCTTGCTTTATTGCCCAGGCTAGAATGCAGTCTAAAGATGGGTATTAAAAACCTCTTTTATGCCAATAATTGTGCTTAACAATGGAGACAGGAAGGAAAAAGGGAGGAAAATAACAAACAAGCAGCCAACCAATATTTCATTTAAACCTGTGAAATGCTATGCAATTACTGAGGAGTGATTTATTTCCAATTATGTAGTCACTTTTAGAGTAGGTGTGATGTGGTACTGAGAAGAATGTATGTTTTGTGGATTTGAGGTGGAGAGATCTGTAAATGTTTATTAAGTTTACTTGTTCCAGGTCTGAGTTCCAAGTCCTGGATATCCTTGTTAATTTTCTGTCTCGTTGATCTGTCTAATATTGATAATGTGATGTTAAAGTCTCCCACTATTATTGTGTGGGAGTCTAAATCTCTTTATAAGTCATTAAGAACTTGCCTTATGTATCTGGGTGCTCCTGTATTGGGTGCGTATATATTTAGGATCATTAGCTCTTCTTGTTGCATTGATCCTTTTACCATTATGTAATGTCCTTCTTTGCCTCTTTTGATCTTTGTTGCTTTAAAGTCTATTTTATCAGAGGCGAGAATTGCAACTCCTGCTTTTTATTTACTTATTTTTTGCTCTCCATTTGCTTGGTAAATCTTCCTCCATCCCTTTGTTTTAAGTTTTTGTGTATCCTTGCATGTGAGATGGGTCTGGATGCAGCATGCCGATGGTTTTTGGCTCTTTATCCAATTTGCCTGTTTGTGTCTTTTGATTGGAGCATTTAGTCATTTTCAATTTAGGATTAATATTAATATATATGAGTTTAATACTGCCATTTAATGTTAGCTGGTTGTTTTGCCCATTAGTTGATGTAGATTCTTCATTATGTTGATGCTCTTTACCTTTTGGTATATTTTTGGAACGGCTAATACTGGTTGTTCCTTTCTGTGTGTAGTGCTTCTTTCAGAAGCTCTTATAAAGCAGGCCTGGTGGTGATGAAATCTCTGAGTACTTGCTTGTTCACAAAATATTTTATTTTTCCTTCACTTATGAAGCTTAGTTTGGCTGGATATGAAATTCTGGGTTGAAATTTCTTTTCTTTAAGGATGTTGAATATTGGCCCCCACTCTCTTCTGGCTTGTAGGGCTTCTGCTGAGAGATCTGCTATGAGTCTGATAGGTTTCCCTTTGTGGGTAACCTGACCTTTCTTTCTGGCTGCCCTTAGCATTTTCTCCTTCATTTCAACCCTGGTGAATCTGACGATTATGTGCCTTGGGTTTGCTCTTCTTGAGGAATATCTTTGTGGTGTTCTTTGTATTACCTGGAGTTGAATATTATCCTGTCTTGCTAGGTTGGGAAAGTTTTCCTGAATAATATCCTGAAGAATATTTTCCAGCTTGGATTCATTCTCTTCATCACATTCAGGTACATCTATCAAACGTAGATTAGGTCTTTTCACATAGTCCCATATTTCTTGGAGACTTTGCTCATTCCTTTTTACCCTTTTTTCTCTAATCTTGTGTTCTCATCTTATTTCATTGAGTTGGTCTTCGACCTCTGATATCCTTTCTTCTGCTTGGTCAATTCAACTGTTAAAACTTGTGCATACTTCGCAAAGTTCTCATATTGTGTTTTTCAGCTCCATTAATTCACTTATATTCCTCTCTAAATGTCTATTCTCGTTAGCATTTCGTCAAACCTTTTTTCAGCGTTCTTAGTTTCTTTGCATTGGGTTAGAACATGTTCTTTTAGCTCACAGAAGTTTCTTATTAGCCACCTTCTGAAGCCTGATTCTGACAATTCATCACACTCATTCTCCATCAGGCCTTGTTCCCCTGCTGAGAGGAGCTGTGATCTCCTGAAGGAGGAGAGGCATTCTGATTTAGGATGTTTTCAGCCTTTTTGCACTAGTTTCTTCCCATCTTTGTGGATTTATCCACCTGTTGTCTTTGTAATTCCTGACTTTCAGATTGGGTCTCTGAGTGGACTTTCAGATTGGGTCTCTGAGTGGACGTCCAGCTTTTTGGTGATGATGTTATTTCTGTTTCTTTGTTTTCCTTAGGTGGACACCCCTCCCCCACAGAGCTGGACCTTCCTGGGTTCAGCTGTGCTTGCTGTGGAACTCTCAACCCACAGCATTTCCAATTGCTGTTTTTTTGTGGGGGTGGGACCAGCTGAGCCCGATCATCTGACTCCCCACTTCAGAGCCCCCTTTTTTTCTTTTCCTAATTGAAAGGTCGATTCTCTCCCAGGTGCCCCAGTCACCCGCTGAAAAGGCACCAGGATCTATGCAATTTCCCTTGCGGGGACTGCGCTGAGTGAAACAGTGGCGCTGAGATTCGTGGCACTTTTCTGCCCGAGAATCTCCCCGTCTGGCTCCCTGCTTCAGTCCCCTTTTCAATCAGCTGAATGGGTGACTCTGCCTTCCCCGAGCTCCAAACGCCAACTAAAAGGGCACCCAGTCCCGCATACTCCACACTAAGAACTGCCGCACTGGGACGCCAGCAAAACAGTCACGCCAGCCAAAAGAGTTGCACTGGCGACCTGTGGGGCTCCTCCACTGGGAATCTCCTGGTCCCTAGGCAACAAAAATTCATCTGTGAGTCTGGCGTCCACTCACTCCCTGCACCTTCACTAGGAGCTGCAATCTGGAACTACTGCTAATTGGCCATCTTGGATCTCTCTCCTCAAGGTTTAATTTAATCATCATTATTATTATTATTTAGAGATGGAGACTCACTATGTTGCCCAGGCTGGACTCAAACTCCTGGGCTCAAGCAATCCTGCCTCAGCCTCCTGAGTAGCTGGGACTACAGTCATTCGCTACCATGCCTGGCCTGGATGTTCTTCTTGAGCATCTTCTCACACCTGTGTTGAAGCTAACCTTCCCTGATCCCTTTTCAAATAGTTAAGGTTCAAGCAAGTTTATCCACACTCACCAATCATTGCAAACAAGTCTGAGTGGTACACGGACTCTTCATTTTCATGCCCTCTTCTCAGTCCACGTCGATACAAGATGCCTGCTACAGCCAAGCCAAAGTAGGCCCCAAAGGCATGGATTGTCATTGATGCTCCAATATCAGAGGCCTGAAGGGACAAAATAACATTCATATAAATAGAGGTGAACCTAAGGCTCATTATGGGAGGAAAGTCAAAGAAAGAATTGCATTGTTGGTTAAACAATTTTAAAAAAGGGAGAAACAGAAAGATGGTGTCAGCGAAAGCAGGGTAAAACAGGGTGGTAAAAGGGAGATAGCACAGACTTTGGAGCCACACAGAACTGACTTTCAAGCCTAGGTCAGTTACTTCCTTGAGATGTGACTTTCAATAAATTATTAATCTTCTCTGATCTAAATGGGGATCTAAATCTAAAATGGGAAAATATTACCCACTCAACAGAGTTTGTGATGGGACTTAGATGAGACCATATTTCCCTGGTGGGAATGCTAGTTCCCTGGTGGGCACATAAGCTTTGCAGGGTTACTTCTCTAGGAAGTAACCTAGATGGAGATTCTCAGTGAAATACATATTGCACAGCCTGGCATGGTGGTGCACTCCTTGTAGTCCCAGCTACTCGGAAGGCTGAGGCAGGAGAAAGGCTTGAGCCCAGGAGTTTGAGGTTACAGTGAGCTATGATTGTTACATTGCACTCCAGCCTAGGTAACAAAGCAAGAACTAATCTCAAAAAAACAAACAAACAAACAAACAAAAAAAAAAAAAACCAGATACTGCTTGTGATATGAAAGGAAGATGATATGTTTACTTGAAATTGCAGTTGAGTCTCACTTAATTGTAACTCAAGACTTGAAACTTCAAAAAACCAAAGTTTTTACCCATATATATATATTTTTATTTTGCTCTATGATGACCTGAAAGCCAGCTGAGGTCCCAGATTCATTTGAAGAGAGATACTTTAGATTCCTCTTTAGGATATGATGTGGATTTGACCCAGTTTTCTACATTTCCTACCTCTAGAGGGAATGTTCAGAGGGTCCAATTCTAGATATTTATCTGTCTTACAGACAGGAAGATGATACTCATCTATTTATAAAACATTTTCAAATTTAAGTAAAAAGGTTCTCCTAGTTTTATTCCTTTGTTTACTAGACATAGACAGACACAGTCCCCTTGAAGATCCACACTTGGTTGGATTGAATCAAGTATCTTTCAAGCATGTATGATCTATCTAGCAATCTTTAGCTGTCCAGCAGCACTTAGTCCCCTCCCGGCTTGGAAACCTTGTTTTGCTTCACCCGGTGGCTTCAGGGGGATGGGAGCTGGCAATTAATCGTGCTTGGACTTTGCAAATACCATGTGAGTCTGTGCCTCTCTTTAAATGCTCACATATTTATAGGTAAATGACCTTCCCTGTTTTTTCCCTGGGGAACCATCAGATAAGTCTTCACCTAGCTAGCACACAGAGATTACAGAGTCTTTATTAATCTGACCCACTTACCTTGTTGGCTTCATCTTGTATTGATCAAGTCCTTTCAAATTATTCTAAAAGTTTTCTTTTAGTTCCTCATTACCAGTTCAAGACTGTGCTTGTTATTACCTTGGCTTAAAGAACATTGCTCCCCATTAGTTACTCGAAAACTTCTAGGTATCTTTTAGGTCCAGTGTAACTGCCACTTCCTCAAAGAACCCCTCCTTGATTCTACAATCTGATCTTCCAGTCACACTTTCTCATACCCCCCCCACATATTTTTCATAGCATGTACTGCAGTTTATAATAACACTTGTGTATCTGTGTCTTTGGGTAGGTGGATGAATGTGTAATTATTTGTTTGGTTGGTTTCTGTCTGTCCCACTAGATTGTAAGCTCTGTAAAAGCAGGAACCTTCATATTTTGTCATTGAGTCCGTAGCACCTAGAAAGTTGTTAAAAATTGAATTAAATGTTAATAGAAATATAAACAAAATAACAAAGTACTAGAGCATGCCCCAAAATGTTATTTATTTATTTATTATTCCTGGGAAGAATCAATGAAATATTTGTGGAGAAAAAAGTTTGACTGCGGCCTTAACAAAAACCTGTACAAACCTTTATATAGGGCTATTCACCTAGTAGTCAAAACAGTAAAAGGAATTGATCATTGATTGTCAAAAGAAGAGTTGAGGCATTAGAAAAATCTGGAGGTGAATTCAGACTCTGGCAAGTCATTCAGCATCTGTGATAATCAGTTTTTATGGTGTATATATGATAATAAAAGTAATACCTACCATACAGTGTTGTAAAGATGAGATAAGATCATGTTTATAAAACTCCTGGTGTGCAATAGGCACTCAGTAAATGGTGGCTATTTCTATTTGCTAGGGCATCCCTCTTACCAAGATTTGCTCCCACATACCGTGGACACCCACTTTTTTTTTGTAACCAGAACTGATGCCCAAAGCTAGGTAAGTATAAATTTTCTAACTCTTACCTTAAATATTTCACCAACCAGATATTCATTGCCAGCAAAGAAAGCAATTTCTATAATTGTCATGATCAGCATTTGGATGGGGCTTGTTTTTCCTAGGACAGCTCCAAAAGATATCAGAACTGTGGCTGTACTGAAGTCTGCATTTATCATGCTGAGGGGAAAAAGAATAGATTGAAGAGTAATGCACGCTCAACCTAAAGCTGACCAAGGTGCAATCCCGTCTCCCATCAGGCCCATCCAGTGCTTCTCCCAGGCCTACTCATCACCTCCCACTTCCTTACTCCTCCTCTTTTCCTTTGACCAGACCCTCTTTAGTTGCTCTAATGTATGTATTTTAACTTACCTTTTATCTCCTTTAGGGTTTTAGTTTATATTTGTTGATCTCATAAATGAATTATTTCCTGGAGTGTGTGTTTACTATTGCACACCAAGAATACATGTTTACATTTTAAAAACAATCTGAAAAATAACTAATGGGGAATTTTTGCTCCCTGTAGCTGAGGTGGAAGGAATAATGCTTTTATGAAAGATGGTTTCTCATATCCTTAAAGTCAAACCAGCGAGGTTACAGACATGAATGTATTATCCAGCTTAGTAGAGCAAGGCATTGCTTCAGATTTTTGAATTTCAACAATTTTTTGTTGCATAAGGGAGACAGTTTGCCAGCCAGTACAGTAAATGACAGTGGACTAACAGAGAAACTATTAATCTGGAAAATAAAGAATTGCCTTAGTCTGTTTGGACGGCCATAACAAAATACCACAAACTGGGTTATTTATAAATAACAGAAATTTATTTCTTACAGTTCTAGAGGCTGGGAAGGCCAAGATCAGATGCTGACAGACTTGGTGTCTGATGAGGGCTCCCTTTCTGGTTAGCAGATGGTGCCTTCTAGCTGTGTCCTCACATAGTGGAAGGGGTGAGGAGTCGCATGTGGACCTCTTTCACAAGGACATTGATCCCATTCACAAGCACTCTGCCTTCATGACCTGGTCACCTCCCAAAGCCCCCACCTCTTAATATCATCGCATTGGAGGTTAAGATTGTAATATATGAGTCCTGGAGGACACAAACATTCAGACTATAGTAAGGATGCTCACTTTTTGATTCCAATGTTAATTTTCTGTCCATGGCTGTGCAGGATCCCCTGTGCAATAGTGCCCCACTGGAGGCCCAAAGCAGCAATGAGTAGGTTGAAACCCACACTGCTGAAGCCATATTTCTTCAGGAAGGTCATGAGGAAGCCAAACCCAACAAATATCATAACGTGTACATCTTGGAACACTGGAAAAGAGAAAAGGAAAAAAAATCTGAGTTAGGTGAGCTTGAAGAAAGTACTGCATCATAGTGTATCCCACTTATTTAGTACTAACACCTTTGTATAGCACACCGGGAGAAGAGAGCATTGGTTGGGAAGCAAAAGTCTGGTTCCAATGCCAGCTTGACTACTTACCAGCCAAGAAACCTTGGCAAGTTATTCAGTGCTTGAGACTTTTTTTGGGGAAAACTATGCACTATTATAGCAGGGTGTTTTTCATCCTGTCTCTGAGGAAGTTTACATTGTTTTCTACCTGAGGACAGCCTTGAAAAGCACAGAGCAAGCATCACTCTTTCTTGCAGACTTTCCCAATACTCCCAGGAAATGGAGTATTTTTTATTTTAATTTACATAGCTTTGTGTATATACTTCAGCTTTATCATTTGTCATGCTGTATTAGCATTTACTTAGCATTTGTCATACTGTAATAGTCAATAAGGTGTCCATCTCCTGCACTAGATTGCGAATTTCTTGATTGAAGGGTTTAGGATACATTCATACTTGGCTCTCTTAAACTCAGCATGGTAGCTTGCATATCAGAGATGAAATAGTACATTTCTTTGATGGATGTGTGAATAAATACATGAGCTACAGTCTCCATTCATCAACTGTATATAATAGCACCAGCCACAAAAATCTTAGCCGACCACTATTTGAATCAAATGGGATAATTTCTTTGTTATCATTGTATGAACCATGAAGCATTAATAAACATAAAGGCTGTATCCTCTTGAGTAACAAATATTCAACTTGTTTTCTGGGAATATAGGCTCTGCCTGAATTCAATCACATGATTGTGTGACCCTGGGCAAGTCACTTATTCTCTATGAGCTTCAGTGTTTTCATCTGCAAAGATTATAAAGACCCTATTTCACAGAATAATCCAAGTGGGATCACTGGTGTGGCAGGATTTGTATACAGTAAAGTATTACACCAATAAAACATATGATCAAATACGAGATAGTGAAAACATGAGCTCTTCCTTCAAGAAACTAACAGCTAAGTTGGTAAGACATATATATGGATCAACCATGTGTGAAATTGACATTTTGCATTGAAAATAATCCTTTGATCTGAAGGGAGTATCTGGGCAGTATATAACAGCATCCACCACAGTGGACAAGCCTGATGACCATAGTCTCTTTTTAATTAAACATCACCATTGTGACCAGAGGTTTAAGTGGAAATAGGTATGAGGGAAGATATGCCTAGAAAATATGTTCCAGAAGAAACTGACATTAGAAGTCAATTAATTTGCCCAAAGGGTGAAGTCAGGATTTGAATTCCAGCCTGACTCTCCTGATTTCTCCATTTTTTGAGCACTGTAGGAGTATAAAATAACCAAAGCAGAACTCTGGATCTTGAGGCACACAGAGTCGTTACTACTTCTTGGCTCCTCTCTACTTCTGTTCTGCCATCAGGCTCAGGGGCTAGTATGTTGAGAGGAAGAGACTACAGCACACTATTCAGGCTTGTCTACTGCAATGGATGCTGAGACTTGCTGCCCAGGTGCCCCTTCGGATCAAAGAACTTATTCATTCCATTCTCCCTGGTGGTCAGGAGTGCTGCCAGATAAAGCTCTAAGCTCTCAGTTCTCTCTGGAAAATGCTCTTGTTTTCCTGAAGATCATAGCTCTTCCCTAGGATAGAGTGCACCCAATAACTGATTCACATGAGTAACCCCTTGTCTCAGAAAAGAGCCACCTGAAACTGGACAGTCCTAGCTTCAGAGTCTCCTGCAGGGTTAGCTGAGGGCTTCTCCTTCTCTGCCCAAATCCTTTTCCCTCAGGTGTTGACCCTTCAGGTGTTGATTCCCATCCCAGGGTACCTACCCAGGGTACCCTGAACTGAGATTTTACCTGACCCGCTGGTGGGCACTTGTCAACCAACATTAACCTGTTTCCCTTTTTGCTTTTTGAAGTATAGATGACCACATATATTCATTTTTCTTTACACATTGTTTTGCCAGGATTTAATTTTTATAGTAAAAATTTGATATAGATCATAGAATAAGTTGGAGGGGAACTTAGAGAATATGCATGACTCTTACTATGGTTTCACTAAACCTTTATGGGACTCAGTTTCCTTTTAAGGAAGACTTGGATTACATGATGTCTAAATTGTCTTAGCTCTACAATTTGCTTTATGCATTTTATTTTGCATTTAGATCAGGACTCTAAGACATAGGCAAATTAGGTGACTTGTATTGTCCTCACAAAGTAGAATAAAAATAAGGACTCAGGTTTCTCTTCATTTTTTAAAATCACACAAAGCTTTTTTTCTACCATTCTTTTTTTTTTCTTTTTTACTTAGAGCACTCTTGTTCTCCCTGTAATCTACTGATTTTATTTATTATCATTATTATTTTTAATATATATTTTATTGCATTTTAGCTTTTGGGGTACATGTGAAGAACATGCAGGATTGTTGCATAGGTACATACATGGCAATGTGGTTTGCTGTGTTCCTCCCCCATCACCTATAGCTGGCATTTCTCCCCACGTTATCCCTCCCTATCTCCCCCCTCCCCCTCCCCTAGTTCCCCCCGCAACAGACCTCAGTGTGTGATGACCCCCTTTTAAACTGCGCAGTTACCAACCAATAAGGTTTGGGTCTGTGTCGCCGCCCAAATCTCATATTGTAGCTCCTATAATTCCCACGTGTTGTTGGAGGGAGCTGGTGGGAGATGACTGAATCATGGAGGCAAGTCCTTCCCACGCTGTTTTTGTGATAGAGAGTGGGTCTCACGATATCTGATTTTTTTTTTTTTTGATGTGGAGTCTTACTTTTGTTGCCCTGGCTGGAGTGCAATGGTGCCATCTTGGCTCATTGCAACCTCCATCTCCTGGGCTCAAGCAAATTCTCCTATCTCAGCCTCCCGAGTAGTTGGGATTACAGGTATGGGTTTTTGTTTGTTTGTTTGTTTTTGGTTTTGGTTTTTAGTAGAGATGGGGTTTTACTATGTTGGTTAGGCTGGTCTGGAATTCCTGACCTCGTGATCTATCTGCCTCGGCCTCCCAAAGTGTTGGGATTACAGGCGTGAGCCACCGTGCCCGGCAATCTGATGGTTTTAAAGGCAGGAGTTTCTCTGAACAAGCTCTCTCTTTGCCTGGTGCCTTCTATGTAAGACGTGACTTGCTCCTCCTTACCTTCCACTGTGATTGTGAGGCCTCCCCAGCCATGAAGAACGGTAAGTCTAATAAATGGCTTTCTTTTGTAAATTGCCAATCTTGGGTATGTTTTTAACAGCAGTGTGAAAATGAACTAATGCACCAACTAATTTAAGAAAATCTAATTTCATAAATGTCTCTTAGTGGAACAATTGTTCTGCAGATTTCATCTCTCTTCCCCTTTGATGGAAAACCAGACATTTTATATCTGGGGAAAGAAATTTCATGTATTAACTGCTTCAATATAGTTCCCTCTTCTAATCTAATTCTTGTTACTGCTTTTCGCCACAAGGGGGCTTAAGAACCTCATTTATTATTTAAATTAACAAGGAGGCTCTTGACATAATGATTCGGTATGAAAGATATGAATAAAAAGATTTATAAACAACTAGGATTATTGCGTTACCATTTATCCTGTTTTAAGAGTTTGTGGGTGGGAACCAGAGAGAGGGCCACAAATATAGTTGTGTGGTGCAAGGCTCTGCCACTAAAGTAACACAATATCCATTTTATAGAAGAAAAGGAATTTCTTTAGGAGTTTGTACTTTGGAGAAATCTTCCAACAGGTTTTAAGGATTGTCAAATCTTGTCTAAATCAATGATTCTCAACAAGAGGTGCTATTAGCCCCCAGAGTACATTTGACAATGCCTGGAGATGTTTTTGGTTGTTGCAACTTGAGGAGGTAGAGAGCGGTGCTGCTGATGTCCTGAGGGTACAGATCAGGGATGCTGCCGAACATCCTCCGATGAACAGGATAGCTTCCCACAAGGAAGTATTTGGCCCAAAATGTTAAGGGTGCTGCTGTGGAGAAACTCTCATCTTAATAAACTACGCTTTTAAGGATTCATAGTTAATAGTGTAAAACTTCCTTTTCCTTTAAATGTTTTAGACCAAAACAGAAAATGCTGGCTTGATGTACTTAAAAATTTCTGCCCAGTAGCACAGCAAATTTTGCACTCTGTTTTGGGCCAAGATATCAGGGGTGATGGACGCAGGTGCCTACATTTTCCTTGCTTCCTTCTCCCGTTCCTTGCTGCCCTCTGAGGTCATAGCAACTCAAGTGTTTTTATTTAAAGCATTTCCCTGAAAATTGTTAACAGTAAATAAAGGAGGATAGTGAAAAGTATAAAAGTGAAGAAATCTCAAGGCATTAGAATCCTACATTGTTCTTAGCCTTCACATCTCCCTGGCTGTGGTAAGTTGTGTCTTTCACACTTATTTGTTTATTTTATTTTTGTTTATTTATTTTTTTAGATGAAGTCTCACTCTGTTGTGCCCAGGATGGAGTGCAGTGGCACAATCTTGGCTCATTGCAGCCTCTGACTCCCGGGTTCAAGCGATTCTGCCATCTCAGCCTCCTGAGTAGCTGAGACTACAGGCATGTGCCACCACACCCGATTAATTTTGTATTTTTAGTAGAGACAGTGTTTCACCATGTTGGCCAGGTTGGCCTTGAACTGACCTCAGGTGATCCACCAGCCCCAGCCTCCCAAAGTGCTGAAATTACAGGCATAAGCCACCGTGCCCAGTGTCTTTCACGTTTAGAGAAGCATCACACTGATCCAAAACGCTGTGTTAGCTCCATGATAGCTAGTAATTTATATTCCATTTAAATTGTTTACTAGCTGCGTGTCTTTGGTTAACCAGTGAATCTCTCTGAGCCTCAGTTTCCTCATCTGTAAAATAGGAATAATACTTCATAAGGCTCCATGAGGGCATGGACTTTGTTTAATTTACCTCCTCATGTCTCCAGTGTCTGGGAAAGAGTGCTTGTGAAATATATTCAGAATAAACATG